ATATCCAATGGCCCTACGCAAAAAGTTATTTTCATTTGCAAAAGGATGGAATTGGCCATCAGGGACCAGGGCAGCAAACAGTACCACAGAGGTTCAACCCATTCTTGCCTGAAATCGTATTACAAAAGGTGGAAATCTGATATTTATCCATTCAGTTTTTAACGGCATCCCACGCTGCCCATGTCGCTATCTTTTCCTCTTCAGAGCTCTTGGTATCCCCCTGGATCATGCAGTTCCGAGCTAAGCAGAAGGGATAAAGTCTGGAGAAGAGGGAAAACACAGTTAAGGAAGAATCTAGAAGAGTCCTGTTACCAAAATTGTGAGGACTTAGCCTGCAAATGTAGATGTGAGAACGAGTCTAACAAGGCCTATTTCTCGGTTTTCTCACATTTTCCTTTCCAGAAGTCAATTGCAGTTTCTGAGACAAGGTGCATGTTATTACATCATCAATGAAGGCAGTTAAACTCATATGTGAGTTCCCTCCCCTCACTTCATTGTCCCTTAGAACTTAAAACCAATGATGGGGGGGCCTCATAAATGGCATCAAATTGAAGTATTGGTCTTCCCCAATTTTAGAGTGAGTTCTCTATTTGCTTTTCCAGGAGGGGCATATCAGAGAAAGATTATGCTTGTTTCCTTTATAGCTTACGCCTATCAAGTGCAGCTGGAAAGTTTTTGAAAAGACAAGCTGCTAGTCTGAAAAAAATGAGTCTAACAGTATGTTGTTCCTCTGGAATGTACTGGAAAAAGTAGAGCCATGTGATTATTAAGAAAGAGATTTATATGTCCAATACATATCAATATGTATACCTAAAAAAAGTTACCTTAAAAAATAACAAAGCCATAGATGTTATTGAAATCAAAGCTTCATGGGCACGTGGGTGGCTCAGTCGGTTAAGCATACAACTTCAGCTCAGGTTATGATCTCATGATTCGTGTGTCTGTGCTGACAGCTCGGAGCCTGGAACCTGCTTTGGATTCTGTGTCCCCCTCTTTCTCTGCCCCTCCCTGACTCATGCTCTTTGTCTCTCTCTCTTTCTCAAAAATGAATAGACATTAAGAAAAAAAAAACAGTTGAGATTCCAGTGCCCTACCCCAGTGTTGGAGTATACGGTTAGCAAGCTTCCCAGGGGGTTCTGATTCTCTGTTAAAAAAAAAAAAAAAAAAAAAAAAAAAAAAAAAAAAAAAAAAAGGAAAAAAAAAAGGAGAAGGAGAAGGAGAAGAAGAAAGGAAGGAAGGAAGGGGTAAAGAAGAAGAAACTAATAACCTAAATAAATTGCAAGGAAGAGCATAGCTAACTTTTTGGAAACTGTGAATGAGGGGCTTGTTTGTGTGTTTCTTCTAGAACCTGACCAAGACGGGTCACACAGTTGGTCGCTGTTCACATAGATAGAAATAGTTAAGACCCTTTTCCACTGTCCTTGCTGGATGGATATTTTGTGAATATAAAGTCAAACCGAAGTCAATATAAGTTTCATTTATTCTCCAAATTCAGACTGGAGGGCTCAAGTTGAATTTGAGGAAAGGCATGCTAAGTTCTTTCTTACCGATGTAGCTGGACGATTTTGACCCATCCATTTGTCCATCATTCCTTCTATGCAGTAATGGCTCTCCTCTCATGTAGTGGATCTTCATGAACGTACAGAGCTTAACCAGTCCTATCAAAAGTTAGACAGCTTGCTGGGGCATCTGGGTGGCTTCACTCGGTTAAGCATGCAACTTTTGAGCTTGGCTCAAGCCATCATCTCCCAGTTCCCAAGTTCAAGCCTCACATTGGGTTCTGATAGCACAGAGGCTGGTTGGGATTCTCTCTTTCCCTTTCTCTCTGCACCTCCCTTGTTTGCGAGCCGTTTCTCTCTCTCTCTCTCTCTCTCAAAATAAATAAACTTCCAAAAAAAACGTTAGAGAGCTCCTACCAGCCAAGTTGCAGGGTGAAATGCATAGTAAATTGAGCACATGTATGCAGAATAAAAAACGTTAGATTACAAATGTTATTCTGCCTTTACCAAAATGTTTTCCTTTTAAAAGTTACTTTAAACTAAAATTAAAATAAATAACATTAAAAAAGGCCAGCATAGCCACAGAAGATGTCTATGATAATTCTAAAACAAGAAAGCAATATAACCACAAGTATAATTTTAACATATGCATAAGGTGGCCTTATATGTTTAATCCCAAGCTTTCTGTTCAACCAACTAGATGTTCTCTGTTGTGGTTTATTATAAAATGCATTTATTCATGGACATGTATATGCTATGGAAACCATATAAGTAGCACACTTAAAAAAAAAACACAACAGTGATCCCTTTGAACATTTAAATGCTGTTTTTAAAAGCTCAGCATGCTTGTCCGTATTTCACTTTCTAGAATATAAATTTCATGATATGACATGCAAAGTTATAAATCAAAGATATAAGAAAATGTAGGCATGCATAATATCCTTGCCTCCACGGAGACCAGGTATTTGTTGAACTTTAAAAGTTAAATGCTCTGCCACAGCTTTTGGACATTTTTTTTTAGCAGTTCCCAGAGAAAGTGATTTTGAGGACAATCCTGTATTCACACGACACACCTCCATTCACTGCTGTGAGGCTGTATACACCTTCCAGTTTGGGGTCGCCAAGGTTAGCTTCTTTACTCTTGGTCAATAGTACGTGTTTAACATACTCGAGAAAGATTTCCATTCACATTTCTGAGCATCTTTTAAACAAACCATTGAGCTCATGCCTACATTTTTTAACGTTTCCTGCTCAAGGGTAGTATTGTCATGCTGAAACGTACACATAGGGCTGGCTGCACAACTCAAACCTTGTTTGAAATTAAAACCAAGATGGTGACAGAACATTAAACCAAGTGTGGCTCCTTCTAAGGTGGGGCTCTGTACGGTTGTGCAGGGTGCACACCCACGAAGTCACTTCTTCCTACAGAGACTTTTGAATTCCCTGATTTTTAAACATGCATTGAGAGGGGTACCAGGGTGGCTCAGTCGAATAAGCGTCTGGCTCTTGATTTAGGCTCAGGTTATGATCTCGTCGTTCGTGAGTTCAAGCCCTGCATCGGGCTTGACAGCATGGAGCCTGCTTGAGATTCTCTCTCTCTTTCTGTTTCTGTCCCCTCCCCTGCTCTCTCTGTCAAATAAATAAATAAACAACATTTAAAAAATTCATTGAGAAACACACTAAGCAGTGAATTGTATTGGCCTTGCTGACTTAACTATGTGAAGAAATATACACAGAAGATGCTGTACTTGGGGGGTGCCTGGGTGGCTCAGTCCATTAGGCATCTGACTTTTGATTTTGGCTCAGGTCATGATCTCATGGTTCTGAGTTGGAGCCCTGCATTGGGCTCACTGCTGTCAGTGCAGAGCCCACTTTGGATCTTCTGTCCCTCCCCCTCCGCTCCTCCCCTGCTCTTTCTCTCTCAAAAGTGAATAAACATTAAAAAAAAAAAAAGTGATGTACTTGAAAAAGAATCATAGGTATAGTAGGATAACTGTAGATGGCTGTCATTATAATTTAGCAGGAAGAGCTCAGAATCACAGAGTGGAGAATGTGCAGAAGAATGGGGTAGGGGTGGGGAGGGAAGGTCGGATACTGGAAAGAGTCTAAGCTTTAGGTGAAGAGGAATCAGACTTTGTGATGTATCTTTGGGCAGGTGAGTGCCTCCAGATAGACCCTCTCTGTGCTTAGTTGGGAGCCGATGGAGGTCCTAGGGTTTAGAACGTGTGAGTGCCATTCTGTACAGCATGTGGAGCCGTCAGGGCACAGGGACGTCAGTCAGGTGGTCTGCACCTGAAAAGGGGTGTGCATGGCTCTTTTGGACTGAGTCCTGTTAAATAAATATCCCCATGCCTCAAGCACAGCCTGCAGGATCCCATCTCGGCCCTCTCTCGGGGCTTCTACAAGCCAGGAGACTGAGCGCTGTCCCTTCCCCATGGAGCTCAGGGAAGCACAAACTCTGTTCCAGGTAGTGTCTTACGGTTGCGCCCCCAGCTCTTTCTGCGGCACGGCCCTCTCTGGGGACAGAGAACATGTGTGCTGAGAGAGCACGGGGAAAGATGGAAGAAATAGTGGGGCTGCAGTTTCCTGCTACAAAGGCTGGACCAAGAGGCTTGGGACGGATACATGGGGAAGGGTTTGGGAAAGATTTCTGTTTGGAATCACCACACTGGGAGAGTAGCGCTTACCAGGAAAACAGACAGCCAAGGAAACAGCGAGTGTGGGGCCGTTGTCTAACAAATGTCACTTGCTAGGTACTCACATGGGTTCCCGGGTCATTATAATGAAGGAAGAAGGGAGGAAGAAAGAAGGAATGGGGGAGGGAGGGAGAGGAAGGAAAGTGTCACTGAAATGCCCATTTCAGTTCTGTTACTTAGTTCTTTTCCACTATTTGGGACCAACAAAAAATAAAAAAAAAGGAAATTCGAATGTGCGAAAGTATGAGCGGAGTCTGGACCCGGGGTACAGACTGGAGAGGAAGCCTCCAAGTTCCAGGCGCTGCGTCCTTCCTTGGGCCGGTTGGACGCCCTTGGGGGTCCCCGGGCCCTCCTTTCCAAGAAGGCAGCTACATCGCAGGCCCGGGCTTGCTCACACCTGCGGCTTATCACCTGGATGGTGGGGGGGCGGGGGGAGTGCGGACTGCCGGAGAGCCTGCGTGGGAGCCCGACCACCCAGAGCGGGACGCACGGGGGAGACCGGGTCCGCGCCGCCCAGCCTCTGAGCGCGGGGGCTCGCTGCCGCTTAGACCAGCCCACGGCCCTCGGCCCGGCCCCCCTGTCACTCACTTTGCTCGCAGCCAATGGCGCGGCCGCCTGTCACCCTCGCCCCGCCCCCCGAGGCCGAGCGGGGAGGAGGTTGGCGGGGAAGGCGCGGGGCTGGAGTTGAATGATTGAACTTTCCAGCGGAGTTGCGGCGGCCGCGAGGTGTCCCCGGCAGTGCGGCCCCGGCGCGGAGCTGGGAGCCTCGGCCAGCGCCCGGCGCCCGCGCCCCCGACCTGCAGCCATGGTGCCCGGGGCGCCCGGCGCGGCCCTGACCCTCTGCCTCTGGCTGGCGGCCTGCGGGGGCTGCCTGGCGGGCGGCCCCGGCGCCGCGGCCGCTCGGCGGCTGGACGAGTCCCTGTCGGCCGTGAGCGTCCAGCGCGCGCGCTGTTCGTCCAGGTGCCTCAGCTTGCAGATCACGCGCATGTCCGCCTTCTTCCAGCACTTCCAGGTACGGGAGCCGCCGCGCTGGCGCCGCGGGCCGTGGCGGGGGGCGCGCGCGCCGCCTGCCTCCCGGCCTGGGCGCCCCGACTTGCGGCCGGGCTCGGCGCGCGGATCCCGCCGTCCCGATTCGGCGTGGCTTTCCAAGCGGGGCTGCCGAGCCCCCGTCCCCAGCCGCCTCCTCCGAAGGAACCGGAGACTGCAGCATCCTTGCCAGCTGTCCTTTCCCGGCGGAAAACGAGCGGCGCTGTCTGGGGAGGGGGCGAGCCGCCGCGCAGATTCCGAGGCTGCGTGTGCGCGCTTGTGAGTTTCCCCCGACTCCGCGCGCGGGGCTCCGGGCCAGTCCCGCAAAGTCCCGGGCGCGGCGGGGCCCTCGGTGTCGCCGGCGCCGGGAGGGAGGCCGGGAGGCGCGCCCAGCCGCGCCCGGGGACCCGCGCGGGCAGCCCAGCCCCGCAGGTGCCCGCGGGCCGACACTTTTGTCTCTTCTGAGCGCCGCTTTCATCATCCGCGGGCCGGCAGCTCGCGCCCCCCCCCCCC